CTCTCTTCTTATCTCTTTTATCTCAAGTTCTGAGTACAAATTTCTTTATTAAATTAACTATAAAATATTCCTTTCTTTCCATATAATTTATTATATACTTGTGCAAATATACATATTTTAAATGTAAAACTTTTAGCATATCAGCCCTAAATTAAGGATACTTGAGTTGCACTAGCTTAATGGAGATAAAGCACTTCCATCCACAAGCCTTTCTTGCTTCTTTATTTATTTAGCTGGTGTAACCCACATCCCATTTGACTGCTCTTAAAAAAGGCAAGCTTAAAGAGTGTTACCACACTCATATAATATTATAATTTAATTCCATTTTTTTTTTCGTTATGTGTGTTTGTTCCACAACTATAACAACATTGTCCGCAGCTGCTGCTCTGTTGCTGCAGTGTCATATATATTTAATTATTAATATAATTAATATTTTTTCGCTTGCACCAGCGAAGTGTAAATAATTTATGAAACCGAAAATTGCATCAACAAAACCAAAAAATAAATACAAAAATGAAAATAAAGAAAAAACACATCAAAACTAAGAGCAATTAAAAAGCCCAATTAAATGTGAATATTTAAATTTATATAAGAGTAGCAAAGCAAAGCGAAATAAACTCTAGCATTATTTTTGGTAGTTGAAAAACTCTTTGATAAGATGTTTTTTGCTTTGATTTTGGGCAAAGCGAAAGCGAAAAACAAAAACGCAACAATTTTCATCAACTTTGAAGGCATCTAATTGACTTTGAAGCGCTTTTACAGCGATTAACTCGAATGTATCTCACAGATACAGGACGCCCACGCACCTACGTGCTGCACTAACAGCTGACTGTGTATATATGTGTGTGTGTGTATGTGTGTGCAAATATATTACAGCTCTCACTTAAGTTCATTTAAAGTTTTGCTTAAATTTTTGCCGCGCCCAAAGAGCAGCAGCAGCAGCAGAGGCAACAGAGGCAAAGGCAAAAGCAGACACAGCCAGCTTATGTGCTAAATTTAAAACCTGCATGCCATTTACCAACACACACACACACCCCACACACTCACACACATACATAGACACATTCATGTACAAGCAACTTACATATGTTATTATCGCACAAACTCGCAAATTTTCGCCCGAGCGCAACGGCTCCCAAATGTATGCTACGTTTTTCAGCATTTTTCTTGCTGCGCTGCCTCTGCCGTCTCGGCTGGCTGTGCTGCTGCGCTGCCCCCAATGGACGCTCATACTTAAACATATTTATGCTAGTGGCAGGACTCGTCGGTTGCTGCTGCTGTTGCTGCTGTTTGTTTTGCAGCTCGTTGACATTTGATGTCACTGTGTCAGCGGCATAAAAAATTAAAAGTATTAAAATGATGCTGAAATCTCATGCCCAAGCCTTGGTCCACCCCCAAGTTTAGGAGTGAGTGCAATAGAAAGAGAGAGAGAGATAGAGAGTGGGTGAGTGGGAGGGAGAGAGAACAGCTGAGCAAATCGCTGGCATAATATGCGTAATAAAAACTTGCGGTCGGCCTTTCTTGCCTTCGGTTTGACCTTTTCCATGGCAACTTTGCAGCTCTCAACTGGTGCCGGCCATGAGAAGGGACAGTTTGTTCTGCTGTTGTTGTCGCTGTCATTTTCGTTGTTGTAGTTGTTGTAGCTGCTGTTTGTGCCTTCTCAGCTGCTTGTTGTACTCTAAAGTAAGTGAGCTGTTTTGCTCTGACATCATTTAACATGACAGGAAAGTGAGTGGACGCTACTCTAGGCAGTGGTCGACTAATGTCAAGAGTTGGCGTTAATGTCGCTTTTGGAAAACTTGCTAAAATCTCACAAAAGTTAAATGGCTTTTAGCTTCTAAAAATAGAAATCATTTTATATGTTTTGCCATTTTTCATGTCAAGTTTTATTTCTTGTTTTTTTTTTTTTTTTTTATGATTTTTTGTTATTTATAGCCACGTTATAAATTGATAATGTTTATCAAAATCTATGTCGAAATTGACGTAAAAGTTTATTTATATATAAATACGTCTTCCATAGATTGTAGACAACTGCTAACCGGTTTATTGTTGCATTTGCCTTTAATCTCGCTCAGAGTAAGAGTCTTCTTTTCTTTTCGTTTGTGTTTCGTTAGTGAACATCGTTACGATTGACGATCTCTCAATGAGAGTCAGTAAGTGAGCAAATACAAGCACAACACTCAGTGCAACGTCTTTACCTTCACTTACACAATCACTCACTCACTTTTGCTTATGGTGTAAGTGAAAGACACCGATTTCCCGACATCGAGGAAGGACGAACAAATATTTGTGAGCAATGATATATACTATACATAAATATAAATTATTCCAATGGCTTAGTTAATATATGAAATTAATGTGTACGCAATTTAAATATGTCTGCAATATTCCCCAATTAGTGAATGTATGTGCGAGCAGTGAGTTTCGTTTATTTTTAAAAGCTTTGTAAGATCTTATTTTCCTTTCCAATTTTTATTGGGTACTTAGAAGCGAAAACATTAGTTTCTGTAGATTATTCAGTATAAAAATTTAGAAATATGCATATTAAATATTATCTACAAATGTATTACAAATTTTTAAAGTTAAGTTATAGATTACCAAAAAAAAAAAATATATCATATATAAAAAATAAAAATATAACTATTGTAGCAAAAATACAAATTAAGCACAATCAGCAAATATTAATATTTATTTTTTACATTTGTGTTAAATTTAATTTACAATGTCACAACTATTTAGAATGTAAAACACTATGTGAAATGCCTATATTAAATAAAAAAAATTAAATATATTTATATTTTTTTTTTTTATAGGTATGTTACATTAAATTCGAGAAATCAAAAATATTTTGCATGTAAAATTGTATGTTGAATTTAAAAAATATAGAGATTTATTTTTTACATTTAAATTAAATTGAAATTCCAAAAAAAAAAAAATAAAATAAAATAAAATAAAATTATATGTTCAATACAATAGTAAGATTAAATTAAATTCGTAAATATTTATATATTTTTTAAAATATATATTATATATATTTATTTATTATTTTGAGCATAAAATTCGTAAGCTTCAGTTAACAAAATAGTACTGAAGACTTGCCAGCTCGTCAATTTCATCTTTAATCCGTTGAAACTCCAAGATTACAACTATAAGGAATCATATAACTAAGCTGTACCTATTAATATTATATTAGCATCTACTCCATATTTAAACATTTCTACTACATAGATTTCATGCATTGAAGTAAGTTTTTTCATGTCTGAAAGTGTATTAGAAATTCGCTTTGGCAAAAGCTAACGCGATTTCAAATTTGAACATCTTTTAAAGTCTCATCGCTTTGGGGCATAGACGGACGGGGGTCAAGCAGTCAGGCAGGCAGCCAGGCACTCAGTTAGGCAGGCACTCCGGCTATGTGGCGCCCGCATTGGGGCAGCTGGCGGTCTGTGCGTGACAGACGTTACTCTGCTCCGCCTGTCACACGCTGCTCTCCGCTTTGCTTTGTCTTACGCGTAATCTTGCCGTCTCGCTCTGCCCTTTTGCAGCTGCTGGCCATGGGCATTGCGTCTGACTGTCGCACTGCCCCACTGTCTTTCTCTCTCTTTCCCTGTCTGTCTGTCTGTCTGTCAGCCAACAAGTTAGTCATTTGCTGTATCAAAAATAAAACGCAAATAAAAAACTTTTACGACATATTTATCTTTTCTGGCGCAACTCTCGACCGTTCTGACTGCCTGACTTTCCGTGGGTGAGATGTGCGTGCGTGTGTATTTGAGCAGAAATATATTTGAAGGTGCATAAAAGAGCAGTAGCCGAAGCAGAGGAATAAGGAATATCAGCACACATGCTTATACACACACACACACACACACACACGCGCGCTAGCTCAGTCAACTGTGTGATGTATCGTTTGGTTTTACATGGTCAGCCCAAGTGTTGCAAAAGTCAGATTCGATTTGTCACCATCAACATAATGAAAAACAATCAGTAAAATGTCTGACGGCAATTGTAGATTGATATTGATTTAGCTGAGCCAAGCTGGATATCGTTTTGCACAGACAGCACATGACAGTGCCTGCCGATGATTGGGTAAACACTTTGAGAATCGCCGAGAAAGGTGTGGTGGGGCCAAACGAAATAAACACACCTACACATTCTGTAGTTGCCAACTACTATATAATGCATTCTAATTGGCAGCATGAATTAAGCAAATAAATGCAAGTGCAGAGAAACACTTTCAAATAAACATAAATATTATAGGATTTGCATAAAAATTAACTAATTAGAAATAAATAAATATTTGGCAAGAGGTAGCACATCTGGAAGTATGTATTGTGTAAAGCTAAAGTCCCAATTAAATAAATATGCAATGTCAACAAAATCGTTTTAAATTTTATGACAGTCGTTAACATTTCTGTAAATATATTGATATGAAATTGTACAAACAAGCAAACAGACTGCGCACTTGAAGAGCTTGAATAGGGATTTAACTAGGCGAAAGGAATTGTTGAGCAACTTTTGTTGTTCAAGTATTTTCTTTATGAAGTTTGTGTATTTATGAGGGCTAATACTCTGCAAATTGAGTTCACTTTTTATTTTCCAATGGATTGGAGGATGTATTGTGCATCCAATATTTTTATTGTCCATAATTCAAAGTCTCCAGCTTCAGTTGCTTCCAAACTATGTCTAATAAGCGAATTGATAGTTGATTGATTTTTGTTCGATAATTTGAATATGAAAAATTTTTGATAATTAGACTTGTAGGAATATAAATTATAATATTCTAAGTTTTCTACTTTACCGAATGCCAAAGAGAAGAGCAAACTGTTTTCTACATTTATTCAGTCAATCTGAACTCATATTACTGATATTATCAATGAGTTCAAGGGAAATGAAAGGTCAGCCTAAGTTCGCATAACAAACTATTCGAACTCACCTTGCTTATAGCTTTGTTTCACCTACATATTTTCTTTCCTGTTATTATGAGAATTGAATAGAAACGTCCCTTAAAAAAAGACATTATTTGAATTATATTTAAAAGTATGCTCGCTGGCATTTTAAGCACCATAAATGGTTTTTGTGTCAAGCTGTTGACACATTATTAGCACCATATAAAAATGAATAAATTGTATTTAATAATTGTTTGGAGCTCGTGCTCCCTCTCTCCGTCTGGCTGCCTCTTTCTCTCTTTCACTCACTCTTCTCCTTCGATTCGTATTAAATCGCAGTTAAATTTGTTGCTATCTTCCTCTCTTTTCCTCTCGTTTGCTTCGATTAAATTATTTTTGTTTGTATGTCCTGTATTTTATTCTCCAAATCTTCTTGTACTGCCCTCCCAGCTTTCTGCTTGTGCTGGCACTGCTCCAAGTACCGCGGCCCAAAGTAGTGAGTGCGTTGAAAGTGTTTGCTCCTTTGCTCCACTATTGCTTGCTCTTCCTGCAGCTTCACCTTGGGCACCACAAACTGCTCATAATACTCATCTGTAGTAGAAGAATATATATAGACAGAAATATATAAAGAGAGCAGGAGGAACATGTTCACCCAATGTTAGATCCATAACATTTGTATTGAATACACAGTTGGCGTTTTTCGTGCCTCTAATAGAGGAGTTAAGATTAGGCAGATCAGGACGAACATGCTGTTTGTAATATTCATCTGTCGGCAAAGATAAGATAGGTTATATATATGTAGCATTTGTACATATAGTGACTACTTACCTAGCGGTAGTTCGAGTTTTCTAGAGTTTAACACTTTAAAACGCTCATCACTTGCTCTTTCAGCCATTTAAAAGCCTCTTTTAACTTTTTCAATAAATTTCAATTGAGCTTTATTCAACTCCAGTTGTAAAAACGTTTCAAGCTTAATGCGTAGCAAACTAGATTTAACGTCTTTTGTGATCTATATAGAATGTAGAAGATATAATATAGAATGTAAATATAGAATGTAGTATATAGAATATGGAATAAATAGAATAATAATTGTTTTTTGTCTTATATTCATTTATTTCCCAGCTAAATCAAATGGTTCTCAAAAGCACATTTAACTGGGCTCTTATCGTAGGCTCTTAGTCTACCGAAAATCCCTGACTATAACACATGTTTCAATTGCTAAGAACTTGGGACTTAGCCAGCATATATTTTACTTATCCGAAACTCTAAGCTGACTTAAATAACTCGAGCACATGCCTCGACTTAGGACTTGATTCTCCACTCTCCACTCTGGATTCTCTTCCCGTCTTTTTCGTAGTGCCTATCAGTAAAGGAATGTACTATATATATACACGTTTTTTTCGGGGGTCTCTACTTTTATGGCGCCTCGTAATGTGCGCAGAGGTACCCAAACCATCGAAGCCTTAAAGCTCAACAATCGTGCTAATGGGCCGTGCTCGTCGACGTCGTCCTTGTCAGAGTTCCAGCAGTTGTCGCCCGTCGCCCTCGTCGTACTCCACGTCCTCCACTTCCTCGACGTCGTCGGCGTCGTCTGGTGTGCCAAAGTTTTTATTTGTTATTATATACTTTGGCGTGTCAAATAAACATCACACATCTACGTACATGAAACATGTTTTATATGCCAGCGCTCTATGAACGTTCTATATGTGTGTGTGCATGCACGTACGTGTGTGTGTGTGTGTGTTAAGTGTGAGTGTGAGTGTTCGAGTTTCTACGTGCTGTGGTTGCGCACTTCTTTTTTTGTTTTGTTCAAGTTAGAGGCATTTGAATGCGAATATGTAAGAGTGTAACTGTGAGTGTATGTGTGTGTGATTGTGTGTATTGGAGTGTGAGTGCTTTTGCTCGTGTGTGACTGCAACTCATTTGCATGAATTGTCGCAAGCTTTTAGGTGAACTTCACCCTAAGTCGGGCTGAGGAGTTGCTCATAAGCCGACAATGTGTGAGCACAGTGGCATGCAAGTGCTTGAACGAGTTATGAAAATATGCCAAACGACAGTTTTTAATGATAATTGTAATAGATAATTTGAATCTAATTAATCATGATTATGAAATGAAAGCCCATTCTGTCTTTTATTTTATTTTATTCTTTTAATAATATTTTTTTTATTTTAGATAATATTTTTCTTTTTATTTATTATTCCCATTGTGTGGTTGATTTATTTATTCACATGTTATTTTAATATTTTCATAATTATTATATATATTTTTAAATTTTTACTTTATAATATCTTTTTACATTATATCAAACCTTAATTTTCAATATTTTATTTTAGATAGATAGATATTAGATATTAATTATTATTAAATTTTATTTTATTTTACATCTATAATTATTTATTTTATAATTTTTCATAATTAATTTAATTTACTGATTTTTACTATTTTATAATATAAGTCATAATTGATTTTTTGTAAACATTTCAAACAAAATTCTATGTAAATAATTTTCAATAAATATTTTTCTTATTATGATTAAATCGCGTTTGCTCCACTGTGCTATTGAGCTGTGACTTTTAATGGCGCTCTCATGGTATTGGGGTGGGAGCACCGTTAATTTTATGCCATTTTATTCACCCTAACGCGCGATTTATGCTAAGCAGTGACAAATAAATAAATGGCTAGACCGAAGGTGTCTGCCAGAGCTCGCCTAATGAGCGTCTTCATATATCATGCGCCATGCTCCGCGCTCCATTTACTCACAAACAAATGGAAATGGAATTACTTGAAATGCAACCAAACTATTTTCAACTAGAAACAATATTTGATCAAAGTCTTCGTATTTTCTTTAACTGTTCAATTTGCTTTGGCTAGCCATTGAGAGTGTGTTAAACGGTTGCCTTACTGTGTATTTATTTGATATTCCAAACAAAATATTGCAATATTTCGAACAGGCTTTTCCCCTCTTTAGCTATTCTCCTCTCTCACTATTTGGTTTACTAATTTTTTTATGGGGCTTTTAGTTTGTGTGAGCTTTGCACACTAAGTGCCAGTCCTTTGCAAATGCATTCCCTTACAACTTTCATGACGCTGACGATTTTAGCTCCTGTTTTATTCAGCATTTTTATTTCAAAGTAAGCCACAAAAATAAAAATAAATTTATTTAGAAATTTGGCAAATTGTCAAATTTTTTGTAGCTTTTAATATTTGATCAAGGTTGGTCTTTTACAGTTTAAGCTGAGCTGCCGGCGAGCTTATTTTATTTTATTTGACAATTTATTTAAACAAAGTAAAACCTGTTTATTATTTTCCTTTTTCTTTTTTAATTTTTTTTTTTATTCTTTTCCTTTTGCTTAGCTTTGTTTGGCTTGATGAAAATAAATATTTGTGGCTTTTTTGTAATGTATGATAAATAAAACGAGTTACAGTCATATTTACTCTGGTGACATCGACAGAGCATATAATATTTTACTTAAACTGTTTCTTAAACATATAAACATGTTTGACAATTTTCAAAGTAAAGCTGAGTAATTGCAGTTGTATTATATAATTCTGCTAAATTTCAGTAAAGTGAGCTGAGCAATGGAATATATACAAATAAGAATTTGTAAATTATAATGCAAAGTAAAAAAATAAATAAATTAAATTAAATTTAAGAAATAAATAAATAATAATAATAAAACATTAAATATCAATAATAATTAATAATCAATAAAATAAAAAATAAATAAAAACACTGTAAAATTAAATATGTATTTAAATATCAATAATAGAAATATATACAAAAAATTAGAATTAAAAAAAAATAAATAAATAAATAAAATAAATTAAAAAAAAAAAAACTATAGAATTAAATATTTAATAATATAATATATTATTATTTAATATGATTATATTTCATATTTTTAGCTTCTTTAATATTTAATTTATTTATTTAATTATATATGAAGCATCACAATCACCTAAAAAGTATGCGATATCTTTCTAAAGTTATTTCAAGCTTCTCTCGGTTTTAAAAAGAGCATTAACATGCCATCGACTACAAACTCAGCCGAAAGAGAATTGTGTGCCCGGGGGTTTTACAAAGAGAGTCCAACATGCATGCACGTACGTCAAAGACTTACATACACATATATATCTGATAAGTGAGAGATAAGCGCCAGCATCTTTTGTTATTTTGCTGTGTAAGTGCTAAGCTGCTCTGCCCTTGCTCATCTCACTTACACTCGCACTTGCCACACAAGATTACACACACTTAAAACGACTTTCAGCACTGACCCAAAAATACTACCCAAACTGAAAATCTTAACTAATTTGCTCATCCACCTTTTCTGTACGCTTCCTTTTAGCATGCACCTGTACCTGGCGCTGATCTCGTGCCTGGTCTGCACCGCCCACTGTTGGCAGTTCGATGGCGGAGGCGCGGCTGCGGTGGGTCAGAGGTTGCATCGCAGTGCCCGGAATACGGCCCGCGCCCTGGCACGTGGTCCGCCGCCGGCAAGAGGATCAGCTGCGCTGCTTGGCAGCCAGCAGCAGGATGTGCTCTATGCGTGTCCACTCAACTCGATGTGCCAATGCGCTGGCTTGCCCAACGAGACGTCCACCCTGATTGAGATTAATTGCAACGAGGTGGCCCTCTACAAGTTTCCAGGTAAGTCAAGGGTATATGTATATAGAGAGAGGGAGAGGGAGATAAATGCATGTATGTGTATGTGTGAGCTGAAGTTATTCAGCTGCTGTCAATATGTGCTGGACCAGCAGCTGCGGCCACATTCAACTTGTCTCGCTTTTATTTATGTGGCAAATATTTTTGTTGCCAACTCGGGCGACAATGAAACTTGCCACTAGCTGCTTTTCTCCCCCTCCCTCCCCCACTCACTCACTCACTCTCTCTCTCTCTCTGTCTACCCTTCTCCCTTCGTCTGTCTTTTTCTCTGTGTCGCCTGCGGCACAATGTAATTTTTTAATGAAGCCTCAAACGGCTTTGTCCTGCCTGCTTGGCTGCCGTTGCTGTGTTACCCACAACAAAATTAAATCTTACATTTAAGTTTGCCAATTAGTTGTAAAAATAAAGTTTTCTTTCTCCCTCTCCCCCTCTCTCTCTCTCTCACTCTCTCTGTCTCTCTCTCTCTCCGGCACAGACTTTTTCGGCTGTGGTTCTAGAAAGTTTTTTAACGATTGCTGTGGCAAAAATTCAACGCTAATTTCGTAGTTTTTAAGTAATGAATGGCAAGTTCTGTGCCCCATTGTCATTTCGTTAGCATTGCGCACTCCAAAAATAAAAACACACGCACACACACAGGCACAAACTCTCGGAACTGCCCTCGCTCCAGTCGTCGACCGCAAAAATATTGCCATTAGCTACAGTGCTGCAAAATGCAAACAACGGGACACGCCTGCCGCCCTTTTTGATGGCAAGTTGCGGCATAAAGTTGCAAATACTCCCGAAAACTGTTGACTACCAAAACACATACACATACACACACACACACTCATACACACATACATTGACAGACAGTCCAGGCAACTGTCAAATATGAACGCTCGAGCCACTGAAAAGTTTTCTTGGCTAACAGTCGCTTTGGCTCTGAGGAGGTTTTGGGTGTTGGCTAAAGGGAAGGCAACTGTGGGTGCGTTTGGAGCCCCTATTTTGACCTGGTTTGCTTTTACTGTTATCCGCATTGCCAATTAATCTATCAAAATATGCGACGTACATATCTAAAAAAAAAGTTTACTTGCCTTTTCTACTGCAATTTGCTGTCTTTTTTATTTGGTTTTCTTTTATAAAATTATTTTACCTTTTTGAATTGTTTTATATTTCGTATCGGTTAAATTTTATAACAAAGTAATTACACTGGCTCTTGTAAGCGTCGTATTATATATGTATTTAATTTTTATTGGAAACAGATAAGTGCGTACTATTGGAGTGAGTTTGCATATTAGCGACTAGTGATGATACACAATATTCGATTCTATTGGCAAATTAATCGTATTGCCAAATGGGTTGCGATTAATTGAAGCCACAATCGATGATTCCAAAAATAATTACATAGGTACTCTAAGATATATGTGAGGAAAAGTAACATGCATTTCAGTTTCCCTAAAGCGGGACCATCACACAGTTAGATCTTATTGTTTCTGAGTTCTAAACTTCATAAATAAATATTAACATAGCATTTAATGTATGTGTTCACAATATATAATCTTGGGGAATAAAATCATTTGATTTGAAATTGATATGATATAAAATATAATTAAATATTATAAAATAATTGTTCAATAATGAATATAATAATAATAATAATAATTCAGTCAATTAATAAATTGTATGTGTCATCACTAATAATGACAATTGAAAGATGAATTGTCAGAGCAAGACAGCTATACCTGCTGCTGAATTCGGCTCTGGGTGTTGCTAAGTGGGAGCGAGATGGCTACTACTGCTCCACACAGAGGGTCGCTATGATTTCGATAACAACAAATATACAACCAGCGATGTGGATATTGACAGAAAATATGAGAAAAGGCAATTGCCAATTGGTCCAGTCTATCAGAAAGACAACTTAAAGCAAGACAGAGAGAGAGAGAGAGAGCTAATATACTCTCTTAATTCCATGCATAAGCAAATTAAATACCAGAAATTAATAAATTTAATATATATTGTAATATTCTTTTGTATTTTTGTGGATATGAACTGATTTTTTGTCCATAATTAATAATAACAAAAGACAAATATCTTCAAGTCTGGACAAAATGAGTTTCGTTGCATTTGGCTGAAATTCCAATCGAGATATTTGATTCGTTTTTATGCATTTTGAGAAGACGCTTTAAACCAATTTAATTGGAATTTCTGTGTGCATGAAATTCATGAAATTTGTATTCAAATAATAATGTTTTATTCAATATGAATTGACGCATTTGTTCAGAGAGTGGCCAAGCTGTGCCAGAGTCTGCCAAGCTCTGGTCTGCCCCCTGCTGTTGATTAGCTTGACTAACAAATCTTTTGCCCTCTAGGGGGCAAACGGGCGTTTCAGCAATTGCAATTACAATCTGCTCACTTATACATATATCTATGAAGATATATATTTAAATGTACGTATATGTATATGTATGCAGATATATATATTCAAACAAATGTCTCAGTTGAATGCAATTTATGTCTTGCATTGGAAGAAACTGCAGCAAATGCACAAAACTTTGTGCCAATTAGCAATTCTAATGTGAAAAAAACGAGTTGGAGTGGGTTGAAGCGAAGCGAGGCGAGGTGGGTTGCCAAAAAAAAAAAAACACTTTGCTTGACAGTCTGGCTAATTGCGTGCCACGCCCACAAAAGCCGCCGTCCAATGCCCACAGCTGGACATTGTGCTGTGGCTAGGTTTGCTTTTGGCCACAGCAACCACTGGCATGCCGGCCCTGGTCTGTCCCGGCTGTCCCGTCTGTCCACCATGTCCTGTCTTGTCTGCCCTGTCCTGGCTTTGGCCTGCCCTGGCTAGCACACATCAGACGTTGCATACTTTTCAGCGCACACAAATATGCAACGGCAACGGCTACAGCAACGAGCAGCAGCAGCAACAGCGGGGGACATTTGCAATGACGATGACAACGACTTGAAATTCATTAAAAATTCCAAAATTTGTGTTGCCAAAAATATGTGACAGCAGCAATAGCAACAGCAACAGCAGCAGCAGCAAACGGCAATGGCAGAACATTCGAATATGTCTTGCAAAAATAAAATACAAATTAAATAGAACTAAAGTTATTTGAATTGTGCAGAATATATAAAATACTCTGTCAGACATGTTAAATATGTTCTCAAAACTATATGTAGAGATAATATAAGCATTCATATACATATAGATACATACATATGTACATTTATCTATATAAATATATATTATATAGTTACTTTTTAGTTGCTCTGAGACTTGTCTAACTAGACTAGCTTTAAAGCTACAACTGTTTCAGTCTCCTTTGACTTATTTGACTAACTTTTAGCTAATACAGTAGAATCCAGTTATAACGACTCCTTATATAACGTCCGTACGGCTATTGCGACGGAAATTCTGGCCCCAGAAAAACGTATATGAGTAAACCTATACGGTTAAAGTGTCTTCCGGGTATACCGATGGGACCTTGAGCCTCGTTATAAGTGGACTCTACTTCATATGTATATTTAATATTTATCAAATATAGTATTAGTTATTATTACAATCTGTAACTGTGAAAGTCTGTGTAACTCTGTAAGATATGATTACTGACTAAGACATAATAAGCTCACTTTAATGTTAGTATAAATAAATATGTATATACATATATAATTACATAAGTATATTGTCAATTGAGAGCCTTCAAGAGCTGCAGATGTATAGACTGCTTATATAGATAATATCTATTATTTTATTATTGATATTAATATCATTATTATCTATTAGAAATTTGTATTAATACATCTAACAAAGTCAACCTATTAAACTAACTAAAATTGAAAATTGAAAATTAATTTTGCTTACATATATAAATACCTAAAGGGACGGCATACACTTTCACAAATATTAGGACAATTTTGTGTAATTGTGTTTAAAAGACAAGCTTCTATATTAAACACAGAGCCGAAGGCCATAGTAGCCAGTGCTGTTAAAATTAAGTTAGATCTTAATTTTTAATTATATCTAACTTTATAAAATAAATAAATAAATATTAAACACAAGTCAATGCAACTTAATGTATACTTCGATATAATAACATAAATAGTTTGCCAACTATTTACAGATTGTTGCTAAGATCATTAATTTACTCATAAATTTTCAGCAATATAATTTACAAACATTTGACAAAAGTAGAACAATTAATTTCAGCAAAATATTGCTGAGCGTAATTTTACCACAATAAGCTCTAAGCCCTCATGGCAAATGGGATGTATGCATATATAAATATCGACATGCCTCATAGCAACGATTGCCATGCGCTGTGGCATTATGAACCAACAACTGACAGACTCCTTCACAATCTGCCACCAACAACACGAAACATCAAATGTGAACTAAAATCTCTCAAAATTTGTGATGTTTTTAAGTCGCCAAGCCGCTTACGACAGAGAGCGACTTAAAGGCCTGGCCTCACCTAGCGCCAGTTGGCAGCGCAGGAGCTAATGAGTTAAGTCCTACAGTGAGTGTAGCAAAAAAAAAAAAAAAATAATAATAAAAAAAAAAAAAAAAAAAAAACAAAAACGCAACCATTTCAGCTTATTTCGTATTCAAAATATTTCGATAAAGCTGCCTTCAGGCCATCAATGGGAGCCAAAGCACGAAATATGTTTGCCAATATCTGGGCGCAAAATTTCAAGTGAACATTTTGGCATTGTGCTCGGCTCGTAAATGATATTTAAGTCACAAATGTGCAATTTAGATTTATTTTTAATGTTTTCTGGTCATTTTCACGCTTGGCCAGTGTTGCTGATGCGCCCCCAGGGCAGCTGCCACACACACACACACACACACACATATATATATATATATATATATATATATATACATGCTTACAGCAGCAGCAGCAGCATTCACTCTATATTCAATTCGACCACAATTTTCATGCCGAAACTATATCTTAACAGAGAGCAGGCCGAGCCTGGTCAGGCTAGGCAGGCAGGCAGGCAGCAAGGCTTATACAAGCTGCTGCACGTTTCCTGCTGCTGCTGACATCCTCCAGCTGCAGCATCGCAGGACACACAAAAGTACAAACACACACACACATACACACATAGTCGCTTCTTATGCTTGGCCGCCTTGGCTCAATGAATGCCTCGACCAAAACAATAACTTTTCAGCTGACGTAATCTTCATCAGCCCATACGTTCACATAGGTCAAAAGCTAAGAGGCAGTGGAGAGTGGGAAAGAGAGAGAGAGAGAGAGAGAGAGAGAGAGAGAGAGAGAGAGAGAGAGAGGGTGGGAATGAGAGAGCTCCATCCTTATGGGCAGCCTATGGAAATTGAAAGTGTTTTTGCTCTGGCTGCGATAGCATTCAGATCAAAGATAGTTTCACAACTATCCAAAGCGAGCAGAGACTTGATTTACGACTTCATTGCGAAACGATTTTTAAAAATTGCCTGAAAAACATACCAAAAACATTCCATTTAATTTCATTCCATATTCTGCTATTGAATGAATTCGAATCAAATATTTTCTGTTAACTTTTGAAAGAAATAATTCAATTATTTCATAGTGGCAAATAAAATTCTTTGTGAAGAATAATTTGTTTATTTTTATTTTAATCAAATTGTTTTAAAAATATACAAATGTTTTCTGACTTCTTCATCATAATTAGATATTTGCTCCAAATTATCATAGATGAAGAATTATTCCATCTGGATAAGTGACTAAGTGTGATGTTAAATTCTTGCCTTGTGCTTTTATATTAGACCAGACTCTGTTAAATTGTGTGACTTTAATAGACTCACGATTGAGTGAGTGAGTCTGTGTATTTTAACAGTGCCATAGACTCTGCTCTCAGACTCTGTTGTGAGACTCTGCTGTTAGACTCAGCTCCTCGAGGGACTGCTGTTGCTCACTATTAAAAGCCACTCAATCGTGGCTGTTGCTAGTGTCCGCTGTTAAATTGATCTGTTTTCTCCAGCTGTTGGTTACTTAGACATTTCTGTTAACTTCACAGTATCAAACTCTGCTTTTGGACTCTGTTTGTTACACTCTGCTATTATACTCTACAATCACGATTGAGTGTCTTTTAACAGTGTTATACTATTAGACGCCGCTGTTAGACTTTACTATTGGGCTATGCTGTTACTATTAATCAATCTTGCTATGCAAATAGCCTTAGCTGTTCACTTAACAGTATAAGACTCGGCTATCAGGCTCTGGTTTTGTACTTGAAGTGCTATTGATAGTTTTAGTAAGTGCATGGTACGCATTTTGGGGCGTGGCTAAGCCAAAAAATAAAAATAAGCCAAT